AATGAAATCACGATGGTAGCTTTGTTATGGATTGTGTATTGTTCTTAGTTTCGGCTGCACACGACACCTTTTCCCAGATAGATTTCTCTGTTTCTTTTTCCGTTTTCTCTCTATTTCTCTCTTTTTCTTTTGTTCGATTTATTTCGTTTCTCTCTTTTTTTCTTTTCTTTTTCTTTTTTCTTTTCTTTCCTTTTTCTTTTTCATTTTATTTTCTTTTTCATTTTCTTTTCTTTTCTTTTTCTTTTTGTTCGATTTATTTCGTTTCTCTCTTTTTTTCTTGTCTTTTTTGTTATTATTTTTCTTTTCTTTTCTTTTGTTGTTTTTATGTCTTTCTCGTCTGTATTGTTGTTGTTTTTTCTTTGTGAGATTGTACTTCATTCATTCCTTGTGTATCGCTTTTCCTCTCTCTCTCTCTCTCCCTCTTCTTCCCTCTCTCTCTCTTCTTCCCTCCCTCTCCCCCCCTTCCCTCTCCCCCCCTCCCTCTTTCCTTCTCCCCCCCTCCCTCTTTCCCTCTCCCCCCTCTGCCTCTCCCCCTCCCCCTCCCCCTTCTCTCTCTCTCTCTCTCTCTCTCTCTCTCTCTCTCTCTCTCTCTCTCTCTCTCTCTCTCTCTCTCTCTCCCTCCCTCCCTCCTCCCCTTTCTCTCTCTCTCTCTCTCAATTACCAACCCTATGTCCTTCCCTCAACTACTCTGACCCTAAACTCGTAGTTAATGGTACGGAGAAAGTCTTTAACAAACCCCGCTGCTCTTAACATTATTGGAATATACCAAGGCTGTTGTTCTGAGGCCTTGTGTTTTTGATTATTTTATTTTATTTTATTTTATTTATTCAGTTGTCTATCATTTGCCTGTTTTTTTCTCTATCTATCTGTCTGTCTGTCGAGTTGCTGTGTATCTTTCTATCAAAGTGTCTATTAGGTTGTCTGTTTATATATCTGTGTCTGATTATCTATCTATCTACCTGTCTATCTACCTACTTACCACCTACCTATGTATCTATCTATCTGTCTATCATTTTGCCTGCCTACCTACCTACCTACCTACCTACCTACCTACCTACCTACCTACCTAGCATTCTACCTATCTATCCATATATCTACCTACCTATCTATCTACATATTTATTCGTGCATATATTCCTTTGTTCATTCCGTTCACATAATTATTGATTAACTTGTCTACGCACCTATTCATATACCTAATTATATAATGATTTAATATCTATTTATCATTATTACCAATATGCCAATCACTCATTACCAATCACCAGTTTATTAATTTTTCTCTCTTTCTCCTGCAGACGGCTGTGGGGAGGTGAGCCCCAGAGCCGAGGTGGTCTGCTACTTCAAGGGTGACCTAACGGCAAACGATGTTGACCCTTGCAAATGCACTCTCCTCGTGGCCTCCGATGTCAAGCTCGATCAAGACCTGAAACTCACTTCCGACATCGGTGAGTTTGGAGAGCTTTGCGTGAGCTCCATTTTTTTTTTTCTTTCTTTTTTTTGGGGGGGGAGGGATAAGTTGGTCGTCTCTTGTTTGAAATGTTTTGGAAAGAGGGTGGAGGGAGGAGGAAAAGGTGAGGGGGGAGGAGGAGGAGGAGGAGAAGGTGAGGGGAGAGGAGGAGAAGGAGAAGGAGAAGGAGGGTGGGGGAGAGGAAGAGGAGGACAAGGGGGATGTGGGGGAAGAAGAGGAAGAGGAGGAGAAAATAAAAGTTGTAGAAGAAAGCAAGGGGAGAACGAAGATATAACAGGAAGAAGACTGAAAGAATAGAAAGACGGAAAATAAACAAGATTAAAATTAACAAATAAAATAAAAGATAAACAAAACGAAGAATGTTTTCAAAAACTCACCTTAATAACACCGAAAGAGCAGACAATCAGCCTCTTTGCTGGAAATGAGAACTTCGAGCGCCCCAAGTTCTCTAAGCCTTCTTCGGGCCTTGGGATAGGTCACGGCAGTAGAACAAACGCATCCCAAGTCCTTTTTCGAGTATAATCTCTTATCTCATAACCCCCCCCCCCGGCGAAATATGTTCTCTTGGTGCCAAAGGAACTAGTTGAGAACCTTCGAATTTCCATTAAGATACGTGAAGAAACGAAGTGATGAATTGAGAATTGGAGATTTTGATAACACGAGAGAGATGTTTTGACATGTTTCGATCATGTATCTCCGCCGCGTGTTTCCTGACGAAGATACGCGATCGAAACACATCTCTCTCGTATTGTAAAAACATTCCTTCTCATCCAAACCTTTTCTCCGCCACGACACCTAACACCCAAACAACACTCTTAGGAAAAAATATGTAACGTCCCTCCTCCTTAGACACATAAATAGACATACAGATAGCCAGAGAGAAAGAAAGACAGACGGACAGAAATATAGAGAGGTATGTGGTCCTTATACAACATGGCGACGAGGGCAACCATCTACAGGAAAACTTATCGAGACGAAAGAGGAACCGAGAGGTAAATACTGTAAGTCAAGTCAAGGGGATTCAAGAACACGCTGGTCCTTCAAGACATCGATCCCCACCTCCTCCTTGAAGCCAGAGAGAGAAGGGAAGAGGAAGAAAGTGTGAGAGTGAGAGAGAGAGAAAGAGAAAGAAAAGGAGAGAGAGAAAGAAAGATTTTCACAACACGAAGTAAGAGAGAGAAAGTAAGTGAAAGAGACAGAGAGAAAGAAAGAGAAAGTAAGTGAGAGAGAGAGAGACAAAGAAAGAGAAAGAAGGTGAGAGAAATTAAGAGAAAGATAGAGAGAGAGAAAGAAAGAGAAAGAGAGAATTCCTTTTCCATTCAACAGTTTTTTTTTTCCGAAGTCTCCTCATCTTAACGTCGATAAGGAAGGGAGGAAGGGGGGGGGGTAGATAATGATCCTGCAGTGTATTTTAGTAAAAGATTCTTGTGCTAGTCTTAGATAGCTGATCTAATAGATAATGGATTATTAAGGGAGCTGTGGTCTATTTTTTTTTATCGATTTAGGTCTATGTTGGAAGTGCTTGTTAAATGGAGGGGATAACGATGTTCCTGTAGAGTTTATTAAGATAAAAGCCTTGTTCTGAGCCTTAATACTTGATCTAAGATTAATGAAGCTATTATGTCATTATTTGTTTGTTATTATTATTGATGTAGGCCTATGTGGAAATCCCACGGAACGTTCTTCATTGTCTTTGCGTTCTTATAAGCTTTTATTTATTTATTAACTCATTCACTCATTCGTCTGTTTATTTATTTATCCAGTTGTACATTAACTTAATTAGTCATTTATTCATCCATTTATTTACTCATATGATGATAAAAGGATTCATTTATATACTGTATCTGTTTATCAATCTATTAATTTATCAATCCACTCATTCATTCATTTATATACTCATTCGTTGATCCATTTATCTATTAATTCATCGATTTATCTCTCCAATTACCTATTCGTTCGTCTCATCCCCCCCGCGCTTTCCAATCTCCCACCAGACTTCACCAAACTGCAGTCGCTGAAGAAGAGGAACCCGAAACTCAAGCTGGTGGCTTCCATCGGCGCCGAAAACGTGAAGACTGAAACGTTCTCTCTGGTGACGTCATCGGTGGAGAGCGTGGCCAATTTCACGGAGGGCGTGGTTGCCTTCGTCACCGCCCATGGGTTGGATGGCCTCGAGGTAGACTGGAGGTGGCCGGGACAAAATGGCGGCAGCAAGGACAAGGATGACGTCACCACGCTTATGAAGGTAAGGGGTTGAGGGTGAGGAGGAGGAGGAGGAGGTGGATGGGGATGAGGAGGAGAAGGAGAAGGACGAGGAGGAGGAGGAGGAGGATGGGATGGTAATGATTATTAGAATGATGATATTAATATTATTTGAATTTAAAGAATTATGAAATTATTATGCATGAATAAAGTATTTTCAATAAATCATATACAAATCACATTGCATTTCCCAAACCTTCCCTCTTGCATCACCCTCCGCCTTTGTAGGTCGTTCGCCTCGCTCTGGACCAGAAAGTGCACAGCGTAAGCCGAAGGACGGCGACTGAAGCTCCTGCCGAAGACACAACGGAAGCCGAGGACGCAACGGAGGCATCACAGGACGTAACCGAAGCCGAGAACGCTACAGAAGCCGCTACCGACGCCCCATCAACGACCATCGCACCCGAACAGGAGGATGAGAGGTAAGGACTCCCGGCTCTGGGTTTGCCGTCATTGCAATTTCATTGTTTTTATTGCATCATTTGGATTTTCAAGTCAGTGTTTGGTTATTTCCTCATTGCCTAATCCTTTAGACTGATGTCCGCGATTCCTCCATCTAATTCGTTACTTTAGTGTAGTTTCTCCCAGCTGTGTTTGCTGCTCGGGGTTTCAGCTCGGCTTAAGCTAGTCCCACAGAACCCCGCTCTTGTTTCTGGCGGTTTTTGAAGCCTTGCAAAGTGCAATAAATAACCCTCTAGTTCGTTTTCCAGCCTCGGGTCAGACTACCTGGTCCTCGAATCAGGTTCCGAATACGAGGTGACCCTCCGGCCCGAGATTGAGGTAAGACTCGAAGACACAGGACACACGATCAAGGAGAAGAAAGAGGACAGTCATGGAAAAAAACAAGCAAAGACACCAACTCGACCTTACCGTGGAAGCGTTAAGTTCAGCGTGAGTTTTATGCACAGCATAGCCTTAAGTTCACCTAAAACTTAATCTAAATCTAAGTCACGAAGTCTCATCCTGTCCACCCCCACGGATGCACTAATCTGGATGTTTGTAAAGGCATCTTGTAGTTTCTGTAGATGTTTGCCTCCTGTAGAAGCACGACGTTGTACACTTTTTGCCAATAACTTTCCTCCTCCTTCTGTTTGACTTATTTTGAGACTGTGAAAGGAGCAAGCTTCTCGTAAGTCCTACAGGATATGAACAGCTACCGGGAAATACTTTCCTTCAGTGAATGGCACAGAGCTATACTTTGTTAATTCAGATCCACGTAGCCTTCTAGGAGTTACGAGTATCTGCTGCATCCTTAATGAACGTTACTAATACTACTTCGTTCTCTTCTAACATGGAAAAATATATACAATACCCTGCATAAAAATACCTCTAGACATATTCACCATTACTAGTTCTAAGAGTCCTACCTCCTTCCAGGATTACTTCAAGGTCTCCGGCGTCCTCACCACCACGGAGACGCCCTCACCGACCCCCTCCTCCGGATGGAAGATCGCGAAGTCTTCTCAGGCATCCGAGAGGAAGGCGAAGCAAGAAGTGGAGAAGAAGGAGAGAGGAGCCATCCTTATGATGACCCTGTCTCCCCATCCTGAGTACCTTGTCAAGGGATATGACCTGAAAGCCCTCACTAAGTATGCTTTTCTCTCTCATGGGCAGTTGTATTAGTACAAAAATAGTATCCAAAAACACACAAATCGATTCCAAACGCCTTTTTTTGAAGTCTTGATGTAGACATGTTATTAGAACTTTCTTGAGATATAACAATTGCTGACGTTTCCCTCTTCCATCCTAGGATTGTGGACTTCTTCAGCCTTCCCACCCACAACCTGACAGAGGATCGTCCTGATGCAGTCACTGAAACCTTCCACCACAGCCGTCTCATGGGCGTTTCCGATCTCGAAAATGCGGTAACAATCACAGTTTTATTCTTATTCAGAATACCTGATGCATTCATGTATTTCCATTATTCTATGTATCATTTGTATGTGTATGTGTGTGTGTATGTGTATTATCAGTTCATCATAAAGAAAATAGATGAAAAAAAATGTACATAACCATAGTCACACACGAACACGATCTTTATCTTTGTGCCAAGTTCCTACTACTAGACCGCCCCATTGCAGGATTCCCTCGTGGACTTGGTGGTGTCCCTCGGAGTGCCACTTGACCACCTGATTCTCGGACTGCCAGCCACCGCCGCTGTGTTTACCCTGAAGGACGAAGACCTCAACACTCCCCGTTCCCCGGCCACTGGAACCCCCAGCTTCATTCCTTACAGAGAGGTATGGGATCCTGCTCTTTGGCTTTGTATGTGTGTCATTGGTGTCTGTTTAATGGAAGGGAAAATTAGTGTTTTATTCGGCATTCGCAGTAGACCTGTTAATGATCATAATGGTTCAAGAAATCCTAATAGTAATAATGCTAGTGTTAATGAGGATGACAATAATCATAATAATCGTTATTATTATTATGAGATGAATAAGAATAAGAATAAAGATAATAGTAGTAGTAATGATAATAATAATAACAGCAATAGTAATTATAATAATAGCAATAATAGTAGTATTAGTAGTAATAGTAATGATATAATAGTACTACTATTACTAATATTACTAATACCATTAATATTTTTAAAAATAATGGTAATAATGTGAATGATGATTATGATAGTAAAAATTATAATAACAGCAACAGTAACAAAAATGATTATGGTAATAATAATAACAAATGATGATATTACCAGCAAACTCAATCACCTGCAACATTTCCAACATGATGCCCATGATGATAAACTTGATGACTTTCAGGCATGTATAATGATGGAAACCGGAAACTGGACGGTGGAACGCGACGAGGATTTGACCGGACCGTATGCCTTCCTGAACACAACGTGGCTGGCCTTCGACGACCCTATAAGCGCCATGATCAAGGTGGGACAGCTTGAGACAACTTGAGACGGACTCACGTGAAGCAAGACAGTGAAACCTTGACAGTATACGAGACAAGAGAAGAAGCCTCCGGACTATAGCCCGTCGAAAACATGAATAGTAGGTGATGATGAAAATCACGAATGCAGGCCGGATGAAGGGTTCCTTAATGGAAGAGTTACTTGCAAGAGACATCCACAACGGGATTAGCAATTATCCAAATTTTAAAAGACCAAATCCATTATGATGTGCATAACTTCAGAAATTACTGACGATACTAAAACTGATGCAACCGCCATATGGTAGATGACAACCGCAGATTATGGAGATGTTAAAATCCCATATAAATGCACCAATGAAATTGTCTGAAGGAATAAACCTCACAAGATTATGATGATATTAATATGAGAATGAAATCACATGGTAAGTGCAAGCACTATCACTGCTGGGAGGAAAGAGAGGTGTCCATCCATTTCCCGAAAGGTGTTGGAATTTATCGAATATTACTACAAACTTCTACCTTCCATAATTGTTAACAGATACACATCTACAGGAAATATACTAATATATCACCTACTGCATCGTCTCCTAGTCTCAAACCTATGCATTATCTAATACTTGACACTGATCTGACATTATATGATTCCGGTACAATGGGCATGTACACTACCTATAACCATAAATGTACTTCAGTTGTTGACTCATTAGACTTCTTTGGACTATTTTCAGGACTTTATTAACAAAACAATTTACTGTTTTTTATTCACAATTGACATACTCATGTAATATTTGAGAGAGAAAAGTATAAAACAATTCATGCATAAGAACAAATGGTTATAACATAATGTCTTGGAATTCCCCTGTAGAGCAAGTATGTATTGCTTCGAGGACTGGCTGGTGCAGCTCTACATAATTTGGAAAACGAAGACTGGGACGACCAATGCAACCAAGGCAAATACCCTGTCCTGTCAGCAATACACGATACCTTTACACAGGTCTGCATAGTTGTTACCCTCTTGTTTTTTTTCTGGTAATACTATTCTATATATATTAAGTATTATATCATTAATATTTCACCTGCCTAAAGTCAACTCTTTTTCTTTACTTTATTCAGCTTGCCCGAACACCTCGACGTGCAGTTCTGCAAAGCCTTGTTGATGATTTGGAGACTGAGGAGTCTTCCTTCCGGCCAATATCTGTTGCCTCCCCCACCGATCTTAGAAATTCACCCTATAGAATTGTTCGCATTGTTGATCGAACTGGAGCTATTAAGGCAATCCGGTACATATACTTTGTCCTGTTCTGATAATAATATATTTATATATATATATATTTATATATATATATATTTATATATATATATATATATATTTATATATATATATATATTTATATATATATATATTTATATATATATATATTTATATATATATATATATATATTTATATATATATATATATTTATATATATATATATTTATATATATATATATATTTATATATATATATATATATATTTATATATATATATATATATATATATTTATATATATATATATTTATATATATATATATTTATATATATATATATTTATATATATATATATATATTTATATATATATATATATATATATATATATATATTTATATATATATATATTTATATATATATATATTTATATATATATATATATATATTTATATATATATATATTTATATATATATATATTTATATATATATATATATATTTATATATATATATATATATATATATATATATTTATATATATATATATTTATATATATATATATATATATATTCATACTAATGACAATAATTCATATACTGCAATGTAATGACAATTTTTATCTAACTGAATCCTTATGTAATCCCTGATTCAATTCTTTATTTCAGAGCAAGTTCTGAGTCCAGGTTCGAGTGCTCCCGTCAAGGCTTTTATCGGGACCCTGCTGACTGTTCCCAATTTTACCGATGTGTAAAGTTCAACCAATATGTGGATGATTTCACTGTCTTTGAATATTCATGCCCTTCTGGACTTGTGTTCGATGATCGTTGGGAAATCTGTGCATGGCCTTCTGCAGCTCCTCCATGTGACGGTTCCTCAGAAATTTTCCCTGTTCCTCGTAGAAAGTTTTCTTGCCCTGGAGAAGGATACTTCACTGATCCAGAGAATTGCCGCTGGTTCTTTGCTTGCCGAGATTACTATGGGAATGGAACATACACTCAGTATGAATTTAGGTGTCCATTTGGACTTGCTTATGATGAGGCTAATGGACTGTGCAACTGGCCATGGCTTGTGGAAGGTTGTGGACATACTGGGCCAATCCCCAATGGATATGGTGGTGTGAGTAGTGGTGCAGTCCCAGTTAGTGTAGCTTCCATTGCTGGACGTGGATTCAGCCAAGGCAAGGCAGTATTTGGAGATGGGTCTGCTTCTCAGGATCTGTATGGTGGAAGCAGTGAAAGTTGTGAAGACTGTGGGTCCACTGAGCTTGCAATTGGTGGACAAGGAGTCTACAACGCTAACCGAGGCATTATTGTTGGTGCAGATCAGAGCAATGAACGACTTTCATATGGTGCCTTCAAAAACACTGGTGTCCCAACCATCCCTGGAACTGGCTTTAGTGGACATAGCAGTGGCAGACAAGGAAACAGTATTGGCTCTACTGCTTTTGGTTCTTCATCAAATAGGAGGCCAAGCAAAACACAAGGAGGAAGGAGAAAGTCCTCTCGCGGTCAGAATGGCCAGGGATACAACTACCAAGAGCCTGACAATGCTTTTAATCCTGCTGAGGTTTCAGGTGGTTATGCTGCTCCAAACCCAAGCACCAGAAGACCTTCCTCTTCTTACAAAACCCCTAGTGCAACAACTCGTACACCAACAACCACTTACCGACCTGTCACTTCTGCTCCTGCAACCACACCTTCCTCTGGATATGTATATCCTGAACCAGCAAATCCTTTCACCTCAGGAAGTTCCATCCAAGTCTCAAAGCCTTCACCAGTAACTTCTGCTCCAATCAGGCCTAGCACATCCTACTCAAGACCTAGACCCAGTTCTTTCCCTTCATCTTCAGAAGAAAGTACTGGTGGTTATGCATCATCATCTGGACACTCAAGACCTCGACCCTCAAGTCCAGCACCAGTAAACCCATTCTTAGCTGCTTCATCCCATGGATCAACAGAGTCTTCAGATGAAGATGGCTCATATGGTTATGAATATGGGGCACCAAGTGGAAATGCATTTGATCCATTCAGTGCAGGGTCATCAAGTGGTTCCAGGAAAGGAACTCAGGGAAGCACTAGCGGATCAAGAAAGACAAGTGGCAGTGTAGGCTCTTCCAGTGGAGTAGGACATTTCACTATCCCTGGTAGCTCTAGTGGTTCATCTGGTAGCAGACACAGCTCTGGAAGTGGGGCATCAGGAGGTTCCAGGGGATCAGGAAGGCCTGGATCATCAAGAGGATCAAGTGGCGGATACTCATACTCAGCTCCTGACTCATCTGAAGAAGAATCTGGAAGCCACTTTGGTGGATCTGGCACTGGAGCCCATGGTGGTTCTGGTCACTTTGGCGGTTCATCATTGGGTACTGGAGGTCGTGGAGGATCCAGTGGGTCTAGCCACTTTGGTGGTTCCTCTGGAAGCAGTGGACCAAGAGGCTTAACTGGTTCATCTGGTGGATATTCATACTCTGCACCTGCAAAACCTTTCGTAACTGGCTCCTCAGGATCTGCTGGCTCATCAGAAGAAGATTCTGGATTCTTTGGAGGTTCTGGAAGCCGTGGCAGTTCCAGTGGTTCAAGCCACTTTGGAGGATCAGGATCTGGAAGCCGTGGCAGTTCCAGTGGTTCAAGCCACTTTGGAGGATCAGGATCTGGAAGCCGTGGCAGTTCCAGTGGTTCAAGTCACTTTGGAGGATCAGGATCTGGAAGCAGTGGCAGTTCCAGTGGTTCAAGCCACTTTGGAGGATCAGGATCTGGAAGCCGTGGCAGTTCCAGTGGTTCAAGTCACTTTGGAGGATCAGGATCTGGAAGCCGTGGCAGTTCCAGTGGTTCAAGTCACTTTGGAGGATCAGGATCTGGAAGCAGTGGCAGTTCCAGTGGTTCAAGCCACTCTGGAGGCAGTTCCAGCAGTTCCAGTGGATCATCTGGTGGGTATTCATACTCTGCACCTGCAAAACCTTTCGTAACTGGCTCCTCAGGATCTGCTGGCTCATCAGAAGAAGATTCTGGATTCTTTGGAGGTTCTGGAAGCCGTGGCAGTTCCAGTGGTTCAAGCCACTTTGGAGGATCATCATCAGGACCTGGAAGCCGTGGTAGTTCCAGTGGTTCAAGCCACTTTGGAGGATCATCATCAGGATCTGGAAGCCGTGGCAGTTCCAGTGGTTCAAGCCACTTTGGAGGATCAGGATCTGGAAGCCGTGGCAGTTCCAGTGGTTCAAGCCACTTTGGAGGATCAGGATCTGGAAGCCGTGGCAGTTCCAGTGGTTCAAGTCACTTTGGAGGATCATCATCAGGATCTGGAAGCCGTGGCAGTTCCAGTGGTTCAAGCCACTTTGGAGGATCAGGATCTGGAAGCAGTGGCAGTTCCAGTGGTTCAAGTCACTTTGGAGGATCAGGATCTGGAAGCAGTGGCAGTTCCAGTGGTTCAAGCCACTTTGGAGGCAGTTCCAGCAGTTCCAGTGGATCATCTGGTGGATATTCATACTCTGCACCTGCAAAGCCATTCATAACTGGCTCCTCAGCAGGAGCTGCTGGCTCATCTGAGGAAGAAGGCGGATCTGGAAGTTCCAGTGGTTCAAGCCACTTTGGAGGATCAGGATCTGGAAGCCGTGGCAGTTCCAGTGGTTCAAGTCAATTTGGAGGATCAGGATCTGGAAGCCGTGGCAGTTCCAGTGGTTCAAGCCACTTTGGAGGATCAGGATCTGGAAGCCGTGGCAGTTCCAGTGGTTCAAGCCACTTTGGAGGATCAGGATCTGGAAGCCGTGGAAGTTCCAGTGGTTCAAGCCACTTTGGAGGATCAGGATCTGGAAGCCGTGGCAGTTCCAGTGGTTCAAGCCACTTTGGAGGATCAGGATCTGGAAGCCGTGGCAGTTCCAGTGGTTCAAGTCACTTTGGAGGATCAGGATCTGGAAGCCGTGGAAGTTCCAGTGGTTCAAGCCACTCTGGAGGCAGTTCCAGCAGTTCCAGTGGATCATCTGGTGGGTATTCATACTCTGCACCTGCAAAACCTTTCGTAACTGGCTCCTCAGGATCTGCTGGCTCATCAGAAGAAGATTCTGGATTCTTTGGAGGTTCTGGAAGCCGTGGTAGTTCCAGTGGTTCAAGCCACTTTGGAGGATCAGGATCTGGAAGCAGTGGCAGTTCCAGTGGTTTAAGCCACTTTGGAGGATCATCATCAGGATCTGGAAGCCGTGGCAGTTCCAGTGGTTCAAGCCACTTTGGAGGATCAGGATCTGGAAGCCGTGGCAGTTCCAGTGGTTCAAGTCACTTTGGAGGATCAGGATCTGGAAGCAGTGGCAGTTCCAGTGGTTCAAGTCACTTTGGAGGATCAGGATCTGGAAGCCGTGGAAGTTCCAGTGGTTCAAGTCACTTTGGAGGATCAGGATCTGGAAGCCGTGGAAGTTCCAGTGGTTCCAGCCACTCTGGAGGCAGTTCCAGCAGTTCCAGTGGATCATCTGGTGGATATTCATACTCTGCACCTGCAAAACCTTTCGTAACTGGCTCCTCAGGATCTGCTGGCTCATCAGAAGAAGATTCTGGATTCTTTGGAGGTTCTGGAAGCAGTGGCAGTTCCAGTGGTTCAAGTCACTTTGGAGGATCAGGATCTGGAAGCCGTGGCAGTTCCAGTGGTTCAAGCCACTTTGGAGGATCATCATCAGGATCTGGAAGCCGTGGCAGTTCCAGTGGTTCGAGCCACTTTGGAGGATCAGGATCTGGAAGCCGTGGCAGTTCCAGTGGTTCAAGCCACTTTGGAGGATCAGGTTCTGGAAGCAGTGGCAGTTCCAGTGGTTCAAGCCACTTTGGAGGATCAGGATCTGGAAGCAGTGGCAGTTCTAGTGGATCATCTGGTGGATATTCATATGCTGCACCCTCTACACCATTCATAACTGGCTCTTCAGCAGGATCTGCTGGCTCATCTGAGGAAGAAGGCGGATCTGGAAGCCGTGGAAGTTCCAGTGGTTCAAGCCACTTTGGAGGATCAGGATCTGGAAGCAGTGGCAGTTCCAGTGGTTCAAGTCACTTTGGAGGATCAGGATCTGGAAGCAGTGGCAGTTCCAGTGGTTCAAGCCACTTTGGAGGATCAGGATCTGGAAGCCGTGGAAGTTCCAGTGGTTCAAGTCACTTTGGAGGATCAGGATCTGGAAGCAGTGGCAGTTCCAGTGGTTCAAGCCACTTTGGAGGATCAGGATCTGGAAGCCGTGGCAGTTCCAGTGGTTCAAGCCACTTTGGAGGATCAGGATCTGGAAGCAGTGGCAGTTCCAGTGGTTCAAGTCACTTTGGAGGATCAGGATCTGGAAGCAGTGGCAGTTCCAGTGGTTCAAGCCACTTTGGAGGATCAGGATCTGGAAGCCGTGGAAGTTCCAGTGGTTCAAGCCACTTTGGAGGATCAGGATCTGGAAGCCGTGGCAGTTCCAGTGGTTCAAGCCACTTTGGAGGATCAGGATCTGGAAGCCGTGGCAGTTCCAGTGGTTCAAGTCACTTTGGAGGATCAGGATCTGGAAGCAGTGGCAGTTCCAGTGGTTCAAGCCACTCTGGAGGCAGTTCCAGCAGTTCCAGTGGATCATCTGGTGGGTATTCATACTCTGCACCTGCAAAACCTTTCGTAACTGGCTCCTCAGGATCTGCTGGCTCATCAGAAGAAGATTCTGGATTCTTTGGAGGTTCTGGAAGCCGTGGCAGTTCCAGTGGTTCAAGCCACTTTGGAGGATCAGGATCTGGAAGCCGTGGCACTTCTAGTGGTTCAAGTCACTTTGGAGGATCAGGATCTGGAAGCCGTGGCAGTTCCAGTGGTTCAAGTCACTTTGGAGGATCAGGATCTGGAAGCAGTGGCAGTTCCAGTGGTTCAAGTCACTTTGGAGGATCATCATCAGGATCTGGAAGCCGTGGCAGTTCTAGTGGTTCAAGTCACTTTGGAGGATCAGGATCTGGAAGCCGTGGCAGTTCCAGTGGTTCAAGTCACTTTGGAGGATCATCATCTGGATCTGGAAGCCGAGGCAGTTCCAGTGGTTCAAGCCACTTTGGAGGATCAGGATCTGGAAGCCGTGGTAGTTCCAGTGGTTCTGGACATTTTGGTTCATCATCCAGAGGCTCTAGTTCTGATGGATCATCTGAAGAGGACAGACATTCTGCTGGTGGATCTGGCTATGTATATGAAGGTCCTTCCAGTGGTAGCACATTTGATCCATTTAACAGTGGATCTGGAAGCAGTGGATCAGTCAGTCACTTTACTGTGTCAGGATCAGGTTCTGGACATAAGAACACAGGTGGAAGTGGATCATCAAGCCACTTTGGTGGAGCTGGAAGTTTTGGCAGTTCTGGTAGTTCTGGAAGTGGATCCAGTGGCTCTGGATTCTTTGGAGGAGCAGGTACTGCAAGTGGACATGGAAGTGGATCTGGATCTGGCCACTTTGGTATCGGAGGATCTGGAGGCAGTGGAGGTTCTGGAGGCAGAGGTGGTTCTGGAGGATCTGGAGGACATGGAAGTGGTTCTGGATCTGGTCACTTTGGAGGCATCGGAGGATCTGGAGGCCGTGGTGGTTCTGGAGGTTCTGGAGGCAGAGGTGGTTCTGGAGGACATGGAAGTGGTTCTGGATCTGGTCACTTTGGAGGCATCGGAGGCTCAGGAGGCCGCGGTGGTTCTGGAGGTTCTGGAGGATCTGGAGGAGCAGGTACTGGAGGCGGACATGGAAGTGGGTCTGGGTACGGCCACTTTGGAGGCATCGGAGGATCTGGAGGCCGCGGTGGTTCTGGAGGTTCAGGAGGCAGAGGTGGTTCTGGAGGAGCAGGTACTGGAGGTGGACATGGAAGTGGTTCTGGATCTGGCCACTTTGGAGGCATTGGAGGCTCTGGCGGCCGCGGTGGTTCTGGAGGATCTGGAGGAGCAGGTACTGGAGGTGGACATGGAAGTGGTTCTGGATCTGGTCACTTTGGAGGCATCGGAGGCTCTGGAGGCCGCGGTGGTTCTGGAGGATCTGGAAGCCCTGGATTCTTTGGAGGTGTTGGTGGAACTGGAGACGTTGGAGGTGTGGGTTCTGCCGGTCCTAATGGTCCTTATCGCACTGGCTCTGCAGGAGGGTCAGGCTCTCCTAGCAAGTCCCAAGGATATTCAGGTGTTGGCTCCAGGAAATCCATTGC